GGGGGGGGGGGGGGGGGAAGGAAAAAAAAAAAAAAGAAGAAGTCAGGCTTGCGGAGCTGATCCAGGCTCAGCCAGTGGTGCCTTAGGCCATTTTGCCTGGATGAATATCCAGCGAAACGGCGACCCAGTACTCCCCAAGAGTCACGACAGCATGCATGCCATGACTCTGAAAAAATGGCTGGGAAACACACAGAAGAACTCGTCATCAGACCTCACCAGCTTTCAGCTGCCACACTGCCCCCCCAACTAAATGTAGTCGATATGGGTTACCACATGGTGAGGAACAATTTTTTTCTTTCTTTCTACAATGTCAGTCGTGGTGATACTCTTTGAGGAAGTGACTGCTGGGATTGAAAGGGCCCTGATCCTTGTCTGTCGTTCTAGTTGCAAAGAAAAACGATGGGATCAAAATCGTCATTGACTATCACAAACTAAATCCCATTACGGTTAAGTACATGTACCCCTTACCCTCCCATAGTAGACAGCCTGGTTATTTCAAAAAGAAAAATGCAAAGAAAACTAAGCATCAGTGACCTAACATCAGGGACAACAACAATAACAACTAGCTAAGCGCCTGTGGTGCGGGTGATGCGGGCTAAGCCCGCAGAGGTAACAAATGTAGTGGGTGACCTCACACTGACCGCTCGCATAAACTCAGACAGACATAAAAAAATAAATAAATAAATAAAWAAATTAAAAAAAAAAAAATCAAAGGGTAATAAAGAATATCCTCAAACCGACTCCGAAGTCGGAGCACAATTGAGTTGAAGAATTGACGAATCAAAAAAAGCTACAGATTTAAAATTCAGAAAAAAAAAGAAGGAGAAAAGGGGAAGAGAGAGAGACAGATAAAGAGAAAGAGAAAGAAACACAAAAAAAGAGAGAGAGAGAGAGAGAGAGAGAGAGAGAGAGAGAGAGAGAGAGAGAGAGAGAGAGAGAGAGGAGCAACAAAAAAACAATGCGTAGAATAAAGAAAGAACAACACCAGCATACAAAGAAAAAAGTTCAATATGAAGATTTTTCGTTCCATTCAAGTTAACAACAAGCCTCACTATAATGAAGGGGAACACAGATCATAGCAGAGGAGATCATAGCAGAGCAGAGGAGAGTAGTGTAGAGCAGGGTAGAGAAGAGAAGAGAAAAGCAGAGCAAAGCAGGGAAGCGAAGAGCAGGCCTGGGAAGTGTTGAATGGAGAAGTGTAGAGAAGATAAGAGTAGAGAAGAGTAGAGAAGAGTAGGAAAACGTAGAGTCGAGGAAAGTCGATGTTACATCTTCGACGCCACACGGGCCCTACTGGACCCGACTGAGGGCCAGAGGGACACAGCAGGGCCTAAAGGCCCGGACTTGGGGTACAGCAGGCCGTAAAGGCCACATTTTTGGACCAGACC